CTCTCTCTCTCTCTCTTCCTCTCCTCTCCCTCCCTCCTCTCCCTCCGCTCTCTCCCCTCCCTCCAGAAGCCCGCAGAGAGATATCGCCCCTCCCCGCGCCCCCAAACCTCGCCCATCCTCCCCCCCAAACGCGGCTCCGCCCCTCTCCCCTCGCCCTCCTCCACCCTTCATCTCCACTTCCCCATCCCCAAACCCAGATTCCACCCCTGCTTACCCCCTTGTATCCCAAATGGGGTCCTGCCCCTCCCAGAGGAGCCCCTCTCCCAGAGTGCTCCCCACTCTTTCTATACATGGTGGGGTGCTATTTGTATTTGTCGAGAGTCTGTATATTCCCAAAGTGAATGCTGAGGGTTATAGACTCCTGTCCTGTGGTTCCACTCACTGTGAGCGTGCACACACACACACACGCGCGCGCGCGCGCGCGCGCGCGCGCGCATGCAAGAACCTTTTCATATAAGCCCCCCACACACGGAAGTACCTGAGATAGGTATATGTCCCTTCTCCCTACTGGTCCTGACATACTCACAGCTGCCTACTCCTTAGGGCATGCCTGCCCAGTACACAGGACTAGAGACACTCACCTGGCTTCATGCACAGTGTCACACCCCAGTGTCACAGCATACCGACAGCACCCTGCAAGATTTACCCACACCATACTCCAACTGCCTGCTCAGATCTGCCCACAGAAGCACACGGTAGACAGACATGCGAGCTGTCTGAGCGAGCTCACCCACCCCCTGTCCATCACAGGTGTGCACACCTGTTTGACTGCACACCCCGCTCATAGCACCCCCTCCACAGCTATCCCTGAGTATGGGTTCCTATTCAAGCACAGAGAGGCTAAGTAGCTTGCTTCAGGTCACCCAGCTCTAACGAGGTTCTTGTCAAGGATGAAGAACACAGAGGATGTCCCTGAAGTCTCCAGTGGCCTGCTATGGTGTCCCAAAGAACATTGTGCATCTTCACTCACCATATATCACCTCTAATTTCACACACATGGACACATAAAGCTAAGAGTGTGCAGGGGGTTAGCGTTCTGGTGCTTGGTACATTTATAGAGGCAAGGCAGATCTGTTCATCATCCTGCAGAAGTCTTTAGTCCTGACTTCTCCTTTGTCCCAATTCCAGCTGCATCCCCAGAGCCACAAGGGAACACCATCACCTACAGATGTTGGTTCCAGGTAGCTTCTGGGTTCATCCGCAGCTGCGGGCTCTCGGGAGCATCCTGGGATAAGCCGAGTTAGTGCTGTCTCAGAGAGGCCCTCATCTTGATGGACCCACCCAGGTGCTGAGCAGCTGAGCCCATGGAGAACAGCTGTCGGTGCTGGCACAGGACTGAGTGACTATGCACACTCAATAGTTTACAAGGCTGTTATTACATGGAGGTCTCCAGCCTCTGGTGAGGGACCTCTGCGCTACTGATGAGCATCTGAGAGGCTCTGAGAGAGCCAGGAGGCTGCCCAAGGTCACTCTGCCCTCCATGTTCCAGGCTTTCTTGAAAACCTTTCCAAGACCCCTCCTAGGGCTCTCAGCAGCCAAGGGCAGATGTAAGGCACCTGCTTGGAGCCAGCAGTCTTGGCCAGATGCCACCATAGGACTCCATGAGACTGCTATGTCCCCTCTCTGAGCTTCATTGCTTTTTCCATGCAGAGCCGGGGCCCCTAGAGCTCTGGCTCGTGAATTGGCAAGACCTGCTGGACTATAGTTGGAAAAGCCCTGCAGGGCTTATGGTGCTGGCATGGAGTGGGCATGGCACAGCCTTCTACTTCCCCAGCACTGGATCCTCCCACGGGCTTCAGTACCTCTACCTAGGCAGACACCTTGAGAACTCAGGTGTAACCTAAACACAAAAGTCTGTCTCTGAGGCCTTTGACCAAGCTGTTGTCCCTCTGCCAGGAACCTTCTTATTCAACAGCTTAATTGAGCAGTTATCAGGTACGAGGAAACCCTGCTTTGACTTGGGGATACAGAACTACCCAAGAATCCAAGCCTTGGTCTGCAAGAAACAGATGTAAATAAACAAGGCCATACTGGTTGGATCATACCTTGAAGAAAAGGGGGCGTTTTAGAAAAGCATCTCATATGGCACTCAGAGCTGAGACTCCAGCAATGAGGAGGAGCTGAGGGAAGAGTCTGCAGGAGGAAAAGGATAGGGAGGACACAGCCGAGGTGGAGGGTGAGGGGAGATGAGGTGAGCCTGCAGAAAATGCTTCTCTCCCAGGCCCTAGCGCTGCAGGCTGTACTGAGCACTGAGGCCCAGGTTTGGCTTCTCTCCTGCTTCTGATGGGAAGGTGAGGAAGCAGGGGCGTGGGGAGTAATGTGATCTGATTTATGGTTTGGATGGATTGCTCTGGCTGCGGCAGGCAAGCAGCCCAGATTGGAGGGGCTTGGAGGAAGGAGGGGGAGAGCAGGGGGAGGGGACTGCAGTGGTCTAGGCTGGGGTGAAGCAGCTTGTAAAATGTTCTCTGCTCAGAGCCCAGTGCTTGGTTAGTTCACTTCCTGGAGATAACTGCTCTGACTGTCCACCCCTTCTTCTCTTTGATGGGGACCACTGGGCCCACCACCACCTCCCACCCCAGCATTAGCCTGCTCAGGGCCTGGCCTATAGGAGAACCTTGGAGTTACATATTTCAAGCTGTACACATGATGCTGTTCACACATGTCTCCACAAGCAGGCATACACAAGGGCTGGCAGGGCAGGGATAGACCATCTGGGTGGGGTCTGGGAGAGCCTGGAGCCTTAGGATGGCAGGAGTCCCCTTCTGTGTGGTCAGTAGTGACCACAGATAATAACAACCTTAGCATACCCTGCAGTCTGCTCCCTCCTCAAGAATGGCCAGGAGGCGGAGAAAGGAACAAAGCCAAAGCCAGCATCCTATTGTGGCCTGCTTTGTTCTAAGAAGGCTCATGGACCAAGGCTGAGGCCTGCCAGTATCAAGGATGCCCTACAGAATGTTCTCCATCTTTCTTCTGTCCATCTAAGTGCTTATACTTGCAAAAGGGAGTAAAAAGGGCAGAAACAGTTCGGGAAAGTGGCAAGGAGTGGGTGTGGGGAGACCCAAGGCAAGGCGGGATCAAGCTTTGGAACGTTGGAGGTTTCCGGCCACAGAGGCAGAGCCTCCTGGAAGCCAAGAGGGGCGGGGAGACACACCAAGAGAATCTGAGGAGACCAAAAGTTGAGACAGACCAGATCATCGGGAGGGAGGCAGAAGACAGAGACGAGCAGAGTGGAGGATCAAGAGGCTAGTGATCTGCCCATAGACAGACACTCGTCAGTCTGAGACCCCTGCCTCCCCCAGTCCTATCCATCTCAGTCATTCTGACCTTTACTAGTTTGAGTGCTAGGAAGCCCAGCTGGATGCAGGCTGCTTGGCTTTTAGGGGCTCTAGTGGTCCCTCAGCTTTTGGGTTTTGGCCATGGAGCCCGAGGCCCTGGGAGGGACTGGGAGGGAGGCTGGGGAGGTGCCCTGGAGGAAGAGCGAAAGCGAGAATCACTGATGTTGAAGGTGAGTGTTGGGCTCGGGATGAAGCATTGTAGAGATGGGGAAAAAATGGGGCTTAGATGGAGCAAGGGGTTCAGAGAAAGAGCTGAGAGAGGAGGTGAGGAGACTGATGTGTGTTCTCTGTCCCACGATCTACAGGAGGCCCTGGAGCTGCCCATTGGGATGGGAAGTAATGACAGTCTTGCTGGAAATTCTAAAGGTGAAGAGGTGTTGGGGACCAAGGAGACCCAAGGGGAAGAAGAGGAAGAGGAAACCACATCACCTATTTCCAGTTCCAACCCTTTCCCCAGCCCTTCTCCCACACCAGAGGACACCATCAGTTACATCTGTGAGTATCCAGAAGCCAGGATGGCCTGTCTGTCAATCACTGACCCATATGTCTCCCAGGACTCCCCCCAGGTCTCCCCCCAATACATGCCTGTCAAGAGCCCGAACCACTGAACCTCATCTATATAGTCCAGATTATCTCACCCATTCCATCTTTGGGAGTCGGAGGGCCATGCCCTCCCTTTTCCTTAGGACCCCTGATTGTGCCTCCAGTTGACTATCCTGTCCCTTCACAGTGGGCCGCTTGTCCGGCCTGGATGCAGGCCTACACCAATTGCATATTCGACTGCACACTTTGGACACCCGTGTGGTCCAGCTGACCCAGGGACTGCGGCAGCTGCGAGATGCTACAAGTGATACCCACGACTCCGTGCAAGCCCTAAAGGAGGCACAGGTCCGGGCTGAGCAGGAGCACGGCCGCCTGGAGGGTGAGTCTCAGCAGCACCTAGAGGGCCTAGGTGGGAGGAGGCGCCCCAGGGAGGTCTGAACACCTGGGGACCAAGGGTGTCAGGAAACTAGAGGGTCCACGCAGAACTGGGATGGGCTGGCACATCTGTAGCTGGGTTATGTGGTGGGTGAGACACCCCTCGCTTCAACCTGGGCCGCACCCTGGAAGCTCCACCCACTCACTGTCTGGCACTGCCTACACTCTGGCCACGCCCCTCTAAGGCCGCCTCGTTAGACACTGCCGCTCTCTAATAAGACTGCCCTCTGGCCCCACCCTTTTATAACCCAAAACGCTTGGGTTCTGCCCCTGACAGCATGGCCAGGCTTCATTGGTCACTGAAGTTCTAATCCGTCCCATTATCCACGCCCTCTCTGTCCTCAATGCTCTGCCTCCCCTAATTAGCCACGCCCCACCACCCGTCACTTTTTACTCTGACTCCGCCCTCTTCCAGCCCCTAAAGCTCTGACCCCGCCCCCTGCAGCCCTGGCTCTGCTTCATTGGTCTGTCTAACCCGAGTTTTGGCCCCGCTCCAGCAGACTTGCCTCTACCTCATTGGCCATCGCAGTCTAACTCTCATTCACCTGGCCCCGCCCTCACCCTCAGGCACCAATCAACTGCTTTGGCTCCTCCCTTTACCTATAGGCCCCTCCCTCTCCCGCCTCTAGAAACCTTGGTTCCGCCTCATTGGTCACTCAGAGCCTCCCTGGCCCCGCCCCCTCTTGCCCCACTGTTCTGACTCCGCCTCACCGTGCACGCAGGCTGTCTGAAGGGCATGCGCCTGGGCCACAAGTGCTTCCTGCTCTCGCGGGACTTCGAGACCCAGGAGGCCGCGCAGGCGCGGTGCAAGGCGCGGGGCGGGAACCTAGCGCAGCCGGCAGACCGCCAGCAAATGGATGCGCTAGGCCGGTACTTGCGCGCTTCGCTCGCCCCCTACAACTGGCCGGTGTGGCTGGGCGTGAACGACCGGCGCTCGGAAGGGCTCTACCTTTTCGAGAACGGACAGCGCGTGTCCTTCTTCGCCTGGCACCGCGCGCCCAGCCCGGAGCCTGGCGCCCATCCTAGCGCGGCATCACATCCACTCAGCCTGGATCAGCCCAATGGCGGCGTCCTGGAGAACTGCGTGGCACAGGCCTCAGATGACGGTTCCTGGTGGGACCATGACTGTGAGCGGCGCCTCTACTTCGTCTGCGAGTACCCTTTCTAGAGAGCCAGTCCTTGCCTCAGAGCTCTTAAGACACATTCTTCTCCGCGTACCCTGCTGTCCGGGATCGCTCAGAGGTTTATAATAACCATGAATAAATTTTAATAAGAAAAGGCTTTTTATTTTAGATATTTGCACCCAGGGTGGTTGAGGCCAGGTGTGCCCTTGAGAGAACTCCAAAGATGCAGCCCCTAGCCGTAGCAGCCCAGAGCTTTATCCGCAAGATTACACGTAGTGCCTACGTGTAGGGCAGGGGCTTATTTGCAGTCGTCCTGGTCATCTTTTGGGTAGACTAAGCAAGTTTGATTACAAAAGCAGAGATAGCAGTCTTACTATCTTGCTAGAACAGCACATTTTACAAGATCGGTCACTTTAAGAGAGTCTCACATCTGGGAAGTGGGCTGACAGGAGCTCATCCTGTTAGGCACTCTCTGCTTTTGGTCTCTCAGGCTGAGTAAGTCTAAACTTTTCAGTGTAATGTTTACCACCCCACCTACATCGTGGGCCCTGAGCTCCACGCTGTATGCCTGTGCTTTGCACCCTATATAATGTACCATGCATCTTGAACCTTCCTTGGGCCCCGAAGTGCTACCAATCCTGGATGGTTGGGCTCCCCTGAGACATAGCCTATGCAGCCTCCCCATGTCCCCATCTGTCCTCGAAGCTTCAAGCTCCCAGCTAAGCTCAGTGCCAATAAATCCTTCCATAATATAATTTGAGGGACTGTGGAGACATCTGACCTTTATTTTGCCTGGGGAGAATCAGGAAGTACCAGACCCTGACTTTGGATACTTGTACTTGTCTTTTTAAAATACAGAATGTTGGAGAGCACATGCGCACAGGAACACATAGTTGTGCACAGATGTTTGGTGTACTCATGCACCCACGCAGATGCCAACATCCCTAGCATGCTTCCTCGGGGGCCTTTAGGAGCTGAGCCCCGTCACTGCTCCTCAGCAGAGAGATAAGGTGTGCTCTAGGTCCTGCCGTTTAATCTTGTTTTGTGTTGACCAGGGTTCTCAGACCTGCTTTCCCTGGGCATCAATTCATCAAGCCCATTCCAGAGAGGAGAGGCATCCACTCCAACCTTACGCCTCACAACTTGCAGAGCATGCAGTCAGACAGGGGGAACACTTGGGTTCCCTCAGTTACTTCCTATCCTGGAAGCTAGGTCAGTCTTCTCTTGGAGCCCAGGTCTCATGCAGGTCCTCTAGCAAGCCCCACCTTCTCCTTCCATGTGGTGTTGGCCTACATTTCCCAGTATGCCTGAGGACCATAGATCAGCTGTCTCCAACGAAAACTGAATTCTCTCCATCCACCGGGCTTGCCCCATGCATCTAGGGAAATGTAGTCCAGTCCCTTGATGGTTGCATAGTAATACCTTTCCAACAAGAGTTCAAACAAACAAAAAATTGGAAAACTTGTGAATTTTCATTGACAGATGGTAACAATTTTTTAAAAGTGAAATTGCTTCATATTAAATATATACATATGTGTAGGAAATGGTTACAAAATTTGGGTGTTAACTATTGATCCCAAAGACCACCATCCTAAATCATGGCTAAATTAATAAAAGTAAACAAGCAATTAAAGCAAGTCTCCATTTGTGTACACCAGCTGCCTCCCCCTAAGATAGGGTTCGTGAGTTCAGGCACTGAAAGTGAGGAAGGACAGGTTTTTATAGCTGAGGGGTTTTCAAATGTGGGATCTGGTGGGCAGAATGGGTGGGGTTACAGGAACAGAACATAGCATGACGAGTTAGTCATAATGACCTGAAACAAAGAGGTTGCAAGGGGCAAGGTGGTCCTAACAAGGTAGTCATGGCAACAGTGGAAACAAAGGTAGGGTTGCAAGATGGTTATGAAAAACCTTTTGAAACAATGATACGGTTGCCATTTCCTGGAACTGGCAGTACAGAACCATTTGTAGTTAAGGTTACAGGGAGGGCCTAGCCCAATCCGTGAAAAACGGAGTTCAGTCATAAACAGGAACAAGCCCAGTTTATCTTCACTATAAAATGGATTTTAAACCTAAGATGGAGGCAGGCTGGCTATTTCTTTACAACATTACTGAGTAGGATATTAAAAACACACGAAAATTCTTTGCAGCCAGAAGTGGAGGCTGATACCTGCAGTCCCAGCTTTTGGGAAGACAGGAGGCAGGGCCTAGGGATTTGGGGCCGCCTGGATTTTAGAATGAACCCCTGTCTGGACAAAGAAAGACAAAAACAAAAGCCAATCAAACATACACTGCAAACCCAAAACAAACAGACTGAAGAGGGCTAGGAAGATGCTCAGTCAGCAAAGTGTTTGTTCTGGAAAAGTGAGGACCTGCGCTTTTATCCTCAGCACCATGAAAAGGCCAGGCCCGGCAGAGAGTGTCTGCAACCCCAGAGCTGGGATAGACAGGTGGAGCAGGTGGATCTGGTGCTCCACTGGCCAGCCAGCCTACTCAGCCATGTTCAGTGACCCTGTCTCAAGGTATTGGGAGGAGAAGTGATGAAGGAAGTCACTTGATGTCCACCTGAAATGGGATGGGGGCAATATTCTTTTAAAATATTTTTCACCTGCTAGTGGGAGTTAAACCCAGAGCCTCCTACACGCTAGGCAAGCACGCTACCACTAAACTGGACTCCAGCCCTCAAACATTTTATTTTGCTTGGAAAGTAATTGCTAATGCTACAGCACAACAGTTTAAAGAGTGGCAAGAAGGAGGGAGCACTGCCCAATAGAGGAGAGCTGAGCATGGTCAACTGTGTGAAGCCTCTCTCTTCTGAGGTCAAAGGCAGTCTCTATGTCTTATGAAGTTTAAGGGAACAAGGGCCTGAGGGAGCTGAAGTGTAAAATAAATATCCATCCCATTGTTTTGAAGTATTGGAGTGAAGGGTGATGTGGGATTTCCTTTTATATATGTTCTGCTTTTATTGGCTGATGAATAAAACTGTATAGGCCACAATGCTTTAGCAGAGTAAAGTCAGGCAGGAAATCAGAACAGAGAGAGAGAGGGAGAGAGAGGGCAAAGTCAAAGACGCCATGTAGTTTCCAAAGGAGAAAGAAGAAAGATGCCACTGGAAACTTTCCAGAAAACCACAGCTTCATGGCGATACATAGATTATTAGAAATGGGTTAATTTAAGATGTAAGAGCTAGATAGGGCTATACCTAAGCTATTGGCCGAACAGTGTTGTAATTAATAAAGTTTCTATGTGCTTATTCAGGTCTGAGTGGCCGGGAAACGAACGAGCAGTCTCCGTTACAGACGGGTTTAAGATGCGAGCAGTATATTCTGTTGGAGGAGGCCCTCGAGTTTAGCAGCAGTAGTAATGGAGAGGAGGACTCTGAAAGGGCCTTTCCCTTAGGGGAGAGGGGTAGGGATCACTGATCCGGAACGAGAAAAGAACCAGGTTCCTAATGTTAAAATATGATGGGGTGGAGTGGTCAGATGGCCAAGGTAAAGAATGGTTGTTGAAACCTACAGTTCACAATCCCAGAGAACCTAGACAATGAGGACCCTAAGAGAGACATACATGGATCTAATCTACATGGGAAGTAGAAAAAGACAAGATCTCCTGAGTAAACTGGGAGCATGGGGACCATGGGAGAGGGTTGAAGGGGAGGGGGAGAAAGGGAGGGGAGCAGAGAAAAATGGTTGGTGACTATCTGGAGCATCGAGTGCAGGTAGGTGAGCAGGAGACTAATCAGGTGAGTGGAGAGATGTAAAGGCTGAGATACAAGAGCAGGAGTCAGGATCGGTCACCCAACAGAAGCTCAAACAAAGAAATGGAGAGGGGCCGTTTGGGGAGGACCCTCAGCCTAGGAAAGTGAAAGGCAGAAGCTTTACCCAGTCTAGGTGAAGTTCTTGTGAATACATAGTAAGAAGGTTTTGAGGCAATGATTGGTTTGCTTGACCTTCCATGAGGAGTAGGAATGATGTGGGATATGGAAATGCCAAGGGATCTTAAGAGCTTTGGATAAAGTCTGAGGAATTTGAGAAGTCAACTCAGGCCATTGCATAGTTGAAGGGAAATTGGAACTTCAAAGTAAGGGATGACTTCTCAAAAGAGATCTGAGACTAATTGAGCCCTTTTGTTGGTGTAGGGAATGTTTCCAGTCACCCTGAAAAAGAGTCCACCAGAACCAGGAGGTATCAGATCCTTCTGACAGTGGGCACGTGGGTAAAATTGAGTTGCCAGTCGATCCTGGGTGAGATTCCCTGACAGATCTTGCAAGAGGCAGTGATGGCCTTTAAGAAGAACAAATCTAGTCAGGTGTGGTGGCGCACACCTTTAATCCCAGTGCTTAGTAGGCAGAGGCAGGAGGATCTCTATGAGTTTGAGGCCAGCCTGATCTACAAAGTGAGTTCCAGGATAGCTAGGGCTACACAGAGAAATCCTATCTCAAAAGGAGGAGGAGGAGGAGGGGGAGGGGGAGAGGGGAGGAAGACAAATCCTTGAGAAGGAGCTGTAGAAGTGAGACAAAGCCGGGCTATCGGGGCGAAGAGCTGGTGCACAGAGTGTGGAATTTGCTGAGTGTCTGAGGATGATAGTGAAGATGTGAGCTGTAAAGGATGCTACGGGGAGTGTGAGAGGGACCCACGCCTCCACAAGCTGTAGCTCTAGTCACCTCCCTTGGAGGTGATGGAGTCGTCCACTGGTGTGATTGGCAGTGCACTATTTCTATGGCCTTTAGCATGGCCATGAGCTGGTTATGGGTCCTCCCTTCGTTGTTAGCAGTCCATGCTCCTTCCAGATGGCTGTGTATGACAGAGGGATATGAAAGGCACACATGGAGTCTGTGAAGAGATTCAGAGAGTGTTCCTTTGCTAGTTCAAGGCATGGGTAAGAACTAGTAGCTGGAGAGATGGCAGCAGCTGTTCTTCCAGAGGTCCTAAGTTCAAGTCCTAGCAACCACATGGTGGCCCACAATCATCTGTAATGAGATCTGGTGCCCTCTTCTGGCCTGCAGGCACACATGGAAGCAAAACACTGTATGCGTAATAAATAAATACATTAAAAAAAAACCTAGTAGTTAGTCTGTTGGTTTGTGGCTGAGTTGAAAGGGCTCAATAAGGTGGTTCCTTAACCACGCTGGTGTCCCAGATGATGGCGCATCCTGCCTTTTGGAACCCCTGCATGTGAAGGAGCTACCGTCTGTGTACCAGGTGTAGGTAGTCTGCAGTGGAGGGCCCTCATGTATGTGTGTGGGATGAGGTAGTAGCTATTCTAAGGTCTCAGTGCAAGAATGAGATGAGCAACATCCGGTATTGACCAGTGGAGGAGCTCTGAAATGCTGAGAGGTGGGCATGCCTAGAAGGTAACTGTGGCATCCTCTATCGATGCTGCCTGAAGGGAGAGAACTTGGGAAGAGGTAGTGCTTGGAAACCTTGTACATTATGAGATAGGGTAGGTGGTGAGAAGAGAAGACAGAGGTAGGTGACCTGAAGGTTAACTCGCGTGCATGCGAGAGAGAGAGAGAGAGAGAGAGAGAGAGAGAGAGAATGTTTCACCATGTAGTCCTGCCTATCTTGGAACTCACTCTGTAGACCAGGCTGGCCTTGAACTCACAGAGATTTGCCTGCCTCTGTTTCCCAAGTGCTGGGATTAAAGAAAGGTGTGCACCACCACGGCCCAGCATGGTTAACATCTTTGATTCACAAATAAGAAGTTTGGCTGTGGTCAGAGCACACAGGAAAGGTGTCCATCATTAGACAATATGGTCTAGTTGTTTTGATAAATATGCAATGGGCACAAAAGAAGGTTCCCAGTTGGCGATCCAGGGCCCTGACCACATATCCCTCCGATATGGAATGTGTGGGGCCAGGCCTGGAGGAGGGCCTGTTGAAGCTTGCAAAAAGGCTTGGCAATGAAGCCGGGCGGTGGTGGTGCACGCCTTTAATCCCAGCACTCGGGAGGCAGAGGCAGGCGGATCTCTGTGAGTTCGAGACCAGCCTGGTCTACAAGAGCTAATTCCAGGACAGGCTCCAAAACCACAGAGAAACCCTGTCTCTGAAAAAAAAAAAAAGGATTGGCAATGGGTGAAAGGATGGACTCGTGGGGGCCAAGAGCCATGTCATATATAGGAGTGATCAGGAAGGGAGAAAGGGGGTCAAAGAGCATAAGGAAACAGCCACTCTAGAAAGGATATAAGGACCTAGAGTGACTGGATTAGGTCTTTTCTATTGGGGCTGATGGCCTTAAGAGTTGGAATAACAGTCCCAGATAAGCAACCTGCGGGGTAGGCAGCTGGACCTTAGAGGGTGAGACCCTATGTCTGCAGACAGGAAGTTGAGTAGAGAAGATGTGTCTGCCTAGCTAATTTGTAGACTGGATACAGGGAAGAGCATCAAGGTATTGTATGAGCTTGGAATTAAGAAAAGGCTTGAATGTAGGGAAACTCTCTTCATCCCCCTGATTGTTTACAGGACTTGTAAAGATTCCAAAAACTGCTGGAATCCAGAGTGCCACCAGGCAGCCATTTGGATTGGTATATCGAAGGGATAGCGAGGCCAGATCCAACTGTAAAACCGAATAAGTTTGGGACCCTTTAGGTTGCATGCCAGGTGGAGGGTTTGAGGTTTTCTCAAAGGCAGCACAA